GTACATATTATAAGTATATTTATATAGAAGTACATATTAAACATCCATGACTGGAGTACAAATGCTCGCATTCATCACACAAACATCTGCCCTCACCGGGATTCGAACCCGGGACCTCTCGAGTCGGCGACACCATGAAACCCGGCGTATAAAATCACTCGGCCACGGAGGTCGTCGGAAATATTTGATTATTTCACGAAAGTTTTATGTGAATTATAAACACGTAATAATTAATAAAAAAATATTATAAAATTATGGGCTAGTGGAAAAAAATAATACACGTTAAGGGCAGTTTCTTAGCCGTGTCCTTTACATAAAATCATGTATTGTATAAGTAACACATTCGAACTTTCTTGACTTCAAACTGTTGGCAAATATACGATGACTAGGGACCGCCCGGGACTTTGCCCACGTTAATTTTAGTCTTTTGAGATTTTCTCAGGAGCCCAAAAATTTTTAAGGGCGAAAAGTATATGTATGTTGGAGATTCAAACGGATTCCACTCAATAATTTCTTCATCGCGGTCCGCCATGTTGTTTGCTTATCGATAAATGCGCACGTCCGGCGCGGGCGCTGTCTCACTGACAGATACGAAGTTGACACTGACATTGACATTGACAACGTCACTCACGTCATTCAGTTACGTCACAGACAAAAGTGTTGCCAACAGAATAAATTAATAACACCATAATCTCCGACATGTATACTTGTATATTTAAAATATTAGTTATGACTAGCTTTTGCCCGCGACTTCGTCCGCGTTATCGTCGTTTTTCGTAAAAAAGTAGCATATGTCCTTCCTCAGGGTTCCGTGGTTTTGATGTGACAGACAGATTAACTTTCGTATTTTAGTAAGGAAATATAATACTGTTAAAAATATCGCAATAAGGAACCGCAGAATATTATTATTATCACTGTGCCCCGAGACCATCAGCGTGTAACTCCTTGTATGTTATTATGTTAATGTATTGGTAATATTGTTTAGATCGCTTTCACATGAGTCTTAAGTACATATAGAATGAAAATACTTCAGCGCAAAGCTTCCGGGTAGACTACGTTGAAATTTGACCCGTCCGGAACGTGAACATAAAAAATTCTAGGACTGCTAACCCGGGAAAGACCGACATAACTGACCATGTGAAAAACAACTGACACCGAGATCTACTCCAACAACACGAAAGGTCTGCCCTTGAGCCTTATTTATTGTCATTGCATAACACACCGATACTGGGAATTGCGTTCTTTTAAATTGGAATGGAAAATTATTTGGTATTATGGGAATTCTGGGAATAAAGATGGTTTCTCCTGCACTGCAACCTATTAAAATTTGAGCCTCGATTACATTTTGTTGCAACTGGGTTACTTTAAGCCGAGTTCCATTGCAAATTTGTGGTGGTCTTAAATTTCGGAGCAGAATAATCGGAATGCCAATTTTTAAACAAATTTCATGAGAAGGAAGTACGGGCATATTTAAAGAATTTAAAAATTCTATCGGGTAATTAGTGGCTTCTTGTTCATCGGCCATTCTATTTATTGAACTATAAACTTTGCTTTCCCCCTGGATATTTTATTATTAATCTCAGATGCCTGGTCATTGCGAGGAGTTAAAATGGACCTTTCGCATAGCCAAGAATTGTTCTTATTTAATTTTTTACGTCACCGTAAACTGACGATGTAAGATGTTGTTGGGATTGCACTATACAACATAACTCAGGCGTCAGAATAAGTTTTCCTTGGTGTAGCAGTGGATAGGTATCTTTGGTGAAGGTATTTTCTTTAATAATATATCAGAAAATTCACGATCATCCGGGTTATCTACAGTTCTCACTCGCATATTTATAGTCAAATGCACCGATTGTATATCACGCCACAAATAAGAGCTTTTCAGGCAAGTCCTAACCTCAGCAGCTCGGGTTCCCCGTGGTATTACCGTTAAGGTTTGTCGGAAATCACCACAAAATAAAACTGTGATACCGCCCATAGGTCGATCATTTTGTCTTATATCTCTTAAAGTTCTGTCTACCGCTTCTACTCCTTTTCGATGGGCCATCGTACATTCATCCTATATACCTATACCTCCTTCACTTAAAAATGAATACTTACAACTACTTTAATTAATAAAAGTACCTACGCTTAATAATTTTTAATTTGAACGAATATTTAAACACTACCAAAACAACTAATACCTGTTTTACAAAATAACAACAAAAGAAATTCAAATAAACTATTTAAAGACTAAAAGTCGCGCTGATAAGCACGGTTTCGGTCTCCCAGGCGGGGGAGCAGATGAGAAATCCTCATGGATACCCTACAGCCGGCTGCAAGGTTATGTCAGACTCGTACTGACTAAAAAACACCCGTAGGGGCTGCCTCTGGCCGGGAAGGCCTCTAAGGCTTCATCGGAAGCGATCGTCCCCCAGGGGGGGAGCGACGCAGAAAACAGATTTAGACAGCTCGCTCTCGGACCTTTGATACCCTACCGCTGCCGCGGCCCGTGTCGAGCGCGGCAACCGTTACACAAAAATAATCCTTATAGCATGATTCAGTATTCACGTGCGACGGCGCGATGGCTTATTTCATGTATAAGTTTGGTGTTTCTATACCGAGTATTATAAACGTAAGAGTAAACAAATATGATCAGAATGCTCCGAACTGCTAAGCTATCGGGAGTTACACGTGTTATTGTGAGTCAACCATAAAAGATAGACATATGCTGTTGGGGGATATTTTTTAGGCAATTTTATGTAGAATATTTTCGTCATACATGATTTCTATGTAACTTTAATCATTAAGGCTGCACACGCGACGGAAGCTTAAAAAATGGAGTAACTTCTCCCGTTTTCCCAACATTTCCCTTCACTACTCTGCTCCTACTGATTGTAGCGTGATGAAAAGTATACTATAACCTGCCCAGGAGTATGAAGAATAATTGTACCAAGTTTTGTTAAAATCCGTCCAGTAGTTTTTGTTTCTATAAGGAACAAACACACAGACAGACAGACAGACAGACAAAAAATTTACTGATTGCATTTTTGGCATCAGTATCGATCACTAATCACCCCCTGATAGTTATTTTAAAAATATATTTCATGTACAGAATTGACATCTCTACAGATTTATTATAAGTATAGATAATATTTATAAAAGCTAGATTTAGCTTAAATAGATATTTTAACAACGTTGCAAGTGTCCCTAAAATGACGACTCAAACGGATTTTGGTGGGACTAATGATAAATCCATACTCCATACTAATATTAGACATGCGAAAGTGTGTCTGTCCGTCTGTTACCTAATTCACGCTTCAAACGCTGAGCCGATTTAGATGTGTGTAGAAATAGTTTCGAGTTCCGGGAAAAGACAGAGTGAAGTTCTTCCCAGAAAACATGCTTTAAAGGGGGAAGGAAAATTGTATGGGAAATCAACTTTTCCACGCAGACGCAATTACAGACACCCTCTAGAATTTTGAAGTCACCTCAGGTTCGGGTGGTCTGGAAGCTCCAGACGGAGAGACTCCCCCCGTGGAAAGATGCCATCCGCCTGGAATACCTCTAGAGGCACTCGCCAATTCTCGGCTTGAGGTCCCCTTAGGATCTCGCCGTCCCCAAACCAGGTCACGCTGTAAAGGTCATCTGCGACCAACAGCATACACACTCAAAAAAAATATAGAATTTTGAGTTTACTGAGAAACTTAAAAATCGTGTAAATAAAATTAGTGCGAACAGTTATCTTTTAAACAATAAACGTACTACACCCCTATACAAAAATATTTCTTTATGTCGTTTACAAAATGTCCGGAAACAGCAGTAAACAACATAGCTATATGTATGTAGGTACATATTATGGGATTATTATCTGTCTAAAGAACATAATAGGGTATTTGACAGTATTAAAAATAAAGTGCCAATTGTTAGCATCTGTGTTTGGAATGAATATTGGCAGGGGTGTTTACTATTTTTACAATAAAAATATTCATAATTTTACTAAAAACCCACAAAAAGATAATAGTTTTCTTCTCTATTGTCACGTGACCCGAAACGATTGGGATTGGCGGAGCCTAAAATGACGTCACACGCATGTAAACTTCCGGTTACAGTGACATTACATTGTATCGTTTGACGTTTTAATAACAGTCGTGTGAAGTTACACTAATAAGATACCATATTGTCCAGAGAAACGTTATCGCGGCAACTTGAAAATGGAATTTTAGATTTGGTTATTTTTACTGAAATACACAACAGAATGATGAATATCCACTTTTTACGGACTCCATAAACATTAGTCAATCACGTGAGATCGTTTTCTAAAACTTGTAAAATACCCTATTGAGTCAATTAATTGACAATTAAAATTGGTAAGGTATCACTACATTGCACAAATTGTAAGTTAACGTGGAGACTGTTATTCCGAAAAAAAAACAATAATTATAGATTTTTTTTTATAGAAAGTTCCGACAAATGACTCCACCCCACCTGATGTTAAGTGACGGTGAAGTCCAGACGTGAAAATAGCTGCTACAGCAGTTCTACCTGCCACACCAGCCATCCTCACACTGCTGGCCTGCATGTTGCTTTTTCACGCCTCTTTTAAAGGATCCCAGGTTGTAAGAGGGAGGGAACACGTGAGCGGGCAGAGCATTCCATTTATGGATAGTGCGACAAAGAAATGGGTCACCAAATTTCTTTGTACGCGTTGGAATTGTGGTCATAGTTAGACGGTGGCAACGTCGGCCAGCGCGCGTGGTCCTCTGAAGGAAAGGGGAAGGTGGAATAAGAGAGAACAACTGCTCACAACACTCGCCGTGGTACAGACGATAGAACGCGCTTAGTGACGCCACGTCACGGCGTAATTGAAGAGGCTCGAGGTGTTAAGTCACATCCTCATCGCTTATCATGCGGATCGTGCGAAGCTGTAACCGCAATCATCGTTTGACTAAGCTAGTAAAGTTTAACTTAAAATTGACGCTGTAAAGTCAAATATTTATGAGATACCGGTAACTTACCCATAATCTTCTTCGGCGGCATCTTCCTCTGCTCTTTCTCCTCACAATCTTCCCTGCGCATCATCTTCCCCTCTTGCCACTTCCTCTTCTTGCCCTCCCTCTCTTCCATATACATCCCCATTTCCTCCTCCCTCCCCACCATAGTCAATCGCACTGTAGACTCCCAAGAATAGTCCTCTTTACGTGGGTCATGCATGCTTAACTCTTGTCTGGACTCCATCACAGGGGCACCGCCCCCAAACACGACACTGAATGAAATGAATGAGCGAGATGAATGATGAAGCGACCTCTTCAAAAGCAGGTTAGAAGAGGACAAAGAATGAGTTGTACAACTTCTTTATTCCAGTGGTTTCTCTTTGTCGATGGCTCTGCAATAGTTCGTTCTCGATGCGTAAGAGCATGTTGCTGCTGGATCTACTGAGATGGTACTGTATGCGAGGGCACAGGCCCAATGTCTGCTTGCTGGTGAACCGGCTGCCTATCAGATACGTTGGTTGGCAGGTGTAGATCTCCATGAGGTCTCCGAGTCGCACGCTGCGTGTCTACCCTTGGGCGTGATGCTATGGCTCCTGTGGACAAAGTATTCTGAATTAGATACATTAAGGTTCGAGGAGCTCGATGGCGCAAGTGGTTAGCGCGTTCGGTGGCGATCGTGGAAGTGAAGCAACTTTCGCAGTGGTCGGTCATTGGATGGGCAACGCAAGAAAAATATGCTGTCTATACAGCGGACCCACAAAGGCCGCATTGAGCACTTCTCATAAGATTCTTAAAGTTATTCGTATTGAAAATCACAAAATGGCCACTTAGCCGACAATTTATACATATAAGAATTCGGATACAATTCATATGCAGCTATCACTTCATTTGACAATTTTCTATGAGGACTCGTAAAATGGTCCACAAAATAGGAATTGCTCAAGTGTCAATTAGTAGATTCATAAAACTCAAGAGCAACATTTTGCAGTTAATATATATTTTTTTGTGTTCGGAAAATAAACAGTTATGGTAAATTTAGGGCTATACGAACTTTTTTGGAGCATGCATGTGTTAAATAATAAACATCGAGACGGCCTTTGAAATCTGTTGTATAATTATTGAACACTTAATAATGGTTGATTCGGTGATGTTATTGCTGCTTTAATGCTCATACTTGATTTTTGTAATGTAGGTTTTATATAAAATACTATGGAAATCTATTGCTATTACTAAATTACATAATTTAATAGAATATTTCATAAATTGCGGGTAGTCAGCGAAATCTTTGTACACGTGTTCTGAACGGCCCGATGACGTCAGTTGTTTGTCGCTGCCTTTAAAAGACCGAGCTCCAGCCTTTGCGGGGCGATTCTGTATCGAGCCATCGGACCGAGCGGAGCTCTGTGTTAAGTAATCATTTACCTATTGTTGTTTATAATTTTTATCGGAATTATATTATTGTTTAATACTGTAAGTCATAATATTATACTTTTGCCATTTACAATAGAAATTACTTCTGTAATCTTATAAATTTAAATAGGAGGTTAGTTATTTGCGAGAAAAGATTTTATACTTTGGTATTTTAATTTTAATAATCAATAAATAGTGTACTTTAAAACATTTAATAATTTTGCAGGTAGTTATTTACCTTATAAAATAAAGAAATCTGCCCTAATGAACAGCTTTATTTCCATTCTATTTGCTTTTTACTACTTTATATAAGTTTCAAAGTGTTTATAAAATCGATAATTAATGAAAATTCTAACACATGCTGCGTTACCGAAAGTATTTTATATCGTCGGCAAAGTGCAGCTTTTCTAAAATGGACATGGCTAGGGCGAAACTCCAGAGCCAGAGTTCGTGGTATTATGTCTCCATCATCAAGACATCTCACGGGTTTCATGAGAACAAAATTTACTATAATGTTACCGGGCACGTCACAGATAGGCTTGCCAGGTGACATGTTTGGCTTTTTGCGGTCGCGTCCGGCCAAATATGTACGTGTTTGGCCTGTCCGGCTTTTGTCAGGCTTTTTGTCAGAGTGGCGATTCGTACGACGATGGGCGGCCTAGCGTCCGAGCGGACAAGAGAGCAAACTGTTGGCGCGCGCGGCGCGTGACGTGAGCTGTGAAAAAGAATGACCGCCTTTTAGGGCAAAATGTCAGGCCTTATATAGTGCGCAGTCTGGCCTTTTCATTTTACGGCCTGGCAACCCTAGTCACAGAACGAAGCCCACAGCGTCGGGGTCCACGGGGCTAGCGAAATGCCCAGTCTCCCGAATGTGAGATGAGAGGTAGGGCATAGCGGATTTGTCGCTCGAATTGGAGCACCCGTCCAGGAAAGTAACCTTCACCTTACAGAAGACTACAATTAAATAACAAAATGCATTTCTTCACAATAAAGCTGCCACCTGGACGTCCTAGTTAGATAATTATTATTATAATACGATAAAATAAAATTGTACTATGTTTCGTCCAATATATTGAAAGTCAACAACCTTTCCAATTTTATTGCTTTCGTCTTACGAATTTTCGATCAGGTCACGTGTCCTGACGCGAGTTTAACATTTTTTACCACTTACAAAAAAAGTGTCCAACGCCGCTAAAGAAGTTTTCACTTAAATAACAGTATTAAATTACTACACGATTAAGCTCAATACTGTTTGCTAAATTAAAAAAGCTAAATTTATCAGACAACCATATTTTGTACCCAGTATTAGCAAATAAATAATCTTTAAATCATGAAAAAATGCACTGAGAGCATACACGTTGCCCGTAGCATAGAAGCGTTAGTTGCTTCGAAAGGTGGCATAATCAAAACAAACAACATCCCTATCGTATTTCAACTAAATTACAAGAAATGCATATAAATGATTACCGTTAAGTACGTTTTCTGACTGTTCCGCTGTAAACGCTTTTTAAATGGATTTTTACACAAAAATATACATATTGAAACAAGTGAAATAGGGGATGAAATTTACATAAACGGAGTCACGGGCACCATTGGTGATATTAAGAGAGCGAAGATAATTGTTCTCTCTGTTTATCACATTTTCACCTTAAAACACTTGATCAATTAATAAAATAAAAATAAATAAATATTTCCAACACTCACACCAATTAGCCTAGCCCCAATGTAAGCACTGTAAGGCTTGTGTTATGGGATACTAGGGTAACGGATAGAATACATATACAGTACATATATAAGAATATTTATATAGAAATACATATTAAACATCTATGACTGGAGTACAAATGCTCGTATTCATCACACAAACATCTGCCCCCACCGAGATTCGAACTCTCGAGTTGGCGACACCATGAAACCCGGCGTACAAACCACTCGATCACGGAGGTCGTCTTAATTAATTCTTATTATCCCATAAATAAAACTTCAAAGGTGTAACATATAGGATTAGAGTTTGGCCTTCCAAATTGAATTGAATTCCCTTGAATGATGAAAAAAAATCTTTTGCCATACAAATTTTGTATTTGATTATAAATATATTTTTGTGATTTTGACAATTTGATTTTAACATAATACCTAATAATGTTTAATTAAATATTATTAAAATGGCCACAACTTCATCTGTGTCAGACTAAAAATAAAATACCTTATTAAAATGATAATTGAGCCTCAAATACCATGTTTCTTAAAAAATTCTAACTAAATATACATAGTGTATATGTACCAGAAACAAAATCAATTTTTTTTTAAATAAAACCTTTGTGTGGTGGTAGACTATCAGAAGGCAAGGGTGCAAGATAATGAATACCCATCATTTTATGTATCACTCTGATACCTACCTCCTTAATGACGCCAAAAACAAATTTCTTAACAATTAACATGAATTACAATGACTGAAATCCAAATCATCAACGCAAATCCTCACCTTCAACCGAGTCCTAAGCACAACAAAATCACTTTCGAAAAATGTCAATCAATCGTTCAATTTATAATACCGAAGCCATGTTGGCGAATAACCACATGAGAACAGCCATTATCCAACCATCCCCATCCTTCAAATACATGTTAATACACTAATCAACCATTTTTAGATTTGCGCACTGCGTTTTGGCAAATAACGACAACCTTGCAAATATACGCGATGGTAGTTAAAACTTGGAGTTTCGCACAAGTTAAGAGTATAAGGTGAACTGAACGGACCAATTGATAGTACAGAGACAGTTAAATGAATAAGTACGCAATATTGTTGTTAATTTGCCAACCAATCGCGTGCGTCGACGACGTCGTTTGTGGACGTCTGGAATTGAGACCACTTGGCTCACGGGGTCACGTAACGCTCGGGTCAAGACGGAACGGGGTACAGGCTAACGCGAAGAACGGTTCAGTACAATATCTAATAGTCTCCTACACATGAGCAATCAGTCATCAATTTACCCACAACAGCGACACAGACCTTCTCTATGCATGGAATAGGGAGATTGGGCCAAGACCCACAACGCGGGCCCAGTGCGTATTGGTGGAGGCTAACGATTACAAAAACATCCGGGACCAAAGTTTAACGTGCCTTCCGAAGCACGGAGGAGTTCGAGATAGCATATTTTCAGTTACCCATCCAATGACCGAGCACTGCGAAAGTTACTTAACTTCAACGACCGCAGCTATAACGCTAACCTAGCGCTAACCATTTGCGCCATCGAGCTCTCCAGAGCACCACAATCGACACAACAAACATTGCCCATCAGTACGACTTTAAAGCGTTTTAGTTAAGGTAAGAGGAGGAACAAGGGAATACGCCGTACGAACTCTCAACACCAAGCAAGTTCCTTTAGAGAGAGACATCACATACGTAGAGAAGAGCAGCATCCCGATTCCACAGCTATTTTTGCCTAGCATAAAGAGTTCACAATACTGCCCCTGAACAACGATGATCATGAATTGAAAAGAACCTTGGATATGGTGATGGCATCAATTCCTTAATACTCTCCGCTATCCTGATGCACTGACCATTATACTACTAATGGCCATCAAATTCTTTCTAGTTATTCTTAATCTGCAAGACAGCGCCAAGTTTTCGCATTGTTGGTAACCCACATGTCAAATAAATACCTTTACAAGTATTAAACATTTGACAGAAGATACAGCAATTCTGGTTATAAAGAATAAAAAGCCTGGTCCTCGTAGATGTTTTTCTAGTAAAAGGACATTGGGCAAAGATATATGAACGCTGCACCCACTTCCGCCAAGGCTTAAACTACATTTATTTGAAAGCTATTATAGTCATGATTATTTGCGCTAAAGCGTATCGAATTCCATCCCGGGGGTCTTTAGTTATTTTAAATTAAATAGGTACATGTAAGTACGAAAACGAACAAACATTAATGAAACAAGGAAAATAATTCTGAAACATTTATTTCATTACAAATATTTTTAATAATCTTTGCCCATAATTAGAGTGTCTTGAAGAGAGCCGGTATGTGAACATTCTCTTACGTCTTGCCAGACCTAAAACCATATGATCACCATAACTGTGTGAGCGTATTTTTGCTCGCAAAAGTCACAGAACTGAACCATAAATACCAGCATTGCTAAGCTAGGCAACGAGTAGTTCTGATTTTCGGTATGGGAT